AATGTGTAAGCGCGTGTAAAATAAAAATAAGGAAAAACAAAAATAAAAAAAATAAAAATGGAGCCAACTCAAAAGGCCCCCGTAGGTACTCACTCACTCACACTTGTCTTAACTAAAGGCTTATCGGAAACAACGGTCGGCGCTGAGCGGACAGGGCGGCGAAACGAGGGGCAGAAGGAGGGGGGAGAAATGAACCATCAGTCTGGATTAATTATAGTTACAGAGCTAACACTAGTAGGTATGGGAGGTTACTACTTCAATCGCCCCATTTGAATGGTTCAAAAGGAATGCAGAGTGGATTTGAAAGGGTAAGGTCAAGTCTTGTAGCAGCGTGGTAGCAGCGCCAAATCTGGAGCTCTGGTAGTATTGTCGTTACCACCTCAATACCAATAACTTGATGATGGTCAGTACAACTTTCATCAACATCATCACTAGGTAGGAGGAAGTACTGGACGATGTTCCTCCGTCCCAGAAGGAAGGGTTCGGCCAGCACTGGGGAATGAACTCACCAGTGATATAATATACAGAGCAACAGGTGAAGTAAACTTTACTTAGTTCCAGGTACTGAGGACTTGATCCGGACGAACCGACACGAATCAGCGACTCGAACAGCTGTGGAGTCTCCATACGAGCGATACCTTTTTTACTTTCACTGCTGGAAAGAGGGACGTAATGAATGAATACTTTCCTTCAAGCGCCTACAGCTGGTTCTGTGAGATTAATGCGCGCTTGGGGAATTATCGGAAAATTCAACACTCGAGCTATAAATAATCTGTCTGATCTATCGGTTTATCCATGTCATCTAGCCTACGTCCAACTCATATCTCCCGATACAGAACAGTATTGGCGGCGGTACGAGACGGTATCAGGAACCCCCGGGGTTTTGCTGTTGCTCAAAGATCCCAGGATGTGGTCAGCCGGGTTACGGGGGGACTCGAGAGAATCTTGTCTCGGTCCTAGTAATTCATAAGGCTGGTTGGCGGTGGGGAGTAAGGGTAATAGAGATCGAGTCTCGAACCTGATGGTCTCCATCGTACCATGGATCTAGCCTTTCCGGGGTCCAGAGGCGTTCACACCCTCTGTCCACGAAGGTAAAGGCACCAGGAACTTGCTTTGGCTTCAGAAGAAAGAAATGAGGGGAAGGAACAATAAGCGGGTGAAATATCCCATGAAATCCTGGGGGATTAACCGTGGCGTGGTTTCTTGCGTTTCATGAATCATGATCTGGTTCATGGAGGAGGTCCTGGCCAGTGACCAGAAACGCCGAACGACGCCGACCGGTCTGTTGGACTTGGTGACGTCCACCATTCGAAGTGTATATCATGGTAACTTTTAACCCATCGATATAAGGGTAAAATCTCCCCCCAATGGCCTTGCAGTAACCAAATCATCAGCTGGCCTGGGGAACTAATCCAGGATCTGGTCGACCCAGTGTGCATGGCAAATTCTTCGGGGCCATGGTTGCTCACGGCCTCGCACCCATAGTTCGGAGTATACCTGAGTTTCCGCTACTTCCTGAACTCAGGTTAACCCTAGTAGACTGATCAAGTAAGAGACGTACTCCGGTATACCGTTCATGCTTGCCCAGGCGATCCCAGCATCAGACTGCGTCAGCAATCCCAATGCGTATGGCTCGATTGTTAAAGAGCCTGGGGCCGCAGAACAATGGCAAATACGAATGGCATGGTTCTGACCCTTCCACTGGCCCAAGTGATAGGCGCTGGAATTCCCCGTACGATCCTTCGGCAGCCCGAGCACATACCATGCAGAAGGGATAGTCCACACTTTGCAGGTACCTTACATTTAGGGCAGTATTTTTCATAACACGGCAACGGACATGGATGAGTCGGTAAGGCTTAGGCGTACTGGGCGTTTCAGTAAATTAAGATATCATTTAGTCGTAGTATTACCTGGATGGCCTAGTGGTGTGATTCTTGCTGTCTGAACAGCACTATCTCCGAGAGGTCCCGCGTCCGTCTTTTTTTTTTCTCTCCTATAAAGAAAACAACACCCTCGCCTTGCTTCTACATATCCCATTCACCTTTCGAATTGGTTTTGATTTTCGATTTCAATTTTTTGCCCTTTATGTTTATCCCCGAGATGACACAGGCTTGGGGCTGGAAACCGCCACTGCCGTTAACAGAGCGCGGGGAAGGCCCAACCCAAGATCTCCCATCTCTGCCAAAGTTTCACGAGAGTTTAAGAATCCAAACATCGAGCAGATTAATTCTAATTCTAATACTCAATCCAATGCTTTAACACACGAATACGGTCTGATAACTGCAAACGGCCACGGGAAACAGTGGAAGCTTCCATCAGTTCCCCTCCATCGATGACATATACTTGATGCAGTCCTGCAGCCAATTGGCAACAAGGAACAACCAAGATAATGCTGAAACGCCGGCGTTTCTGCACGTCACAGAATAGAGCGATGATGTGATTCATTGTTAAATCATAGGGAGCAAAGTTGAAGAACATCCTTGCCCCCCAGGATTGATGCCCCTGTTCGGTTGTCTACTATTGGTGTCGAGTACATCGAACATCCAACAGTGAACTTCCGTCGAATGTATTCTATTTAGGTTTCCTACTAGTACCAGGTAAGTAATTAACTGGACTACCCGACCATCAGTTAACGGGGCGAGTAAGGTTACTAAGAGATCATCTAGTGTATAACGCGGACAGTGCATTAGTTCAACAGTAAAACACCCTCCTTCAGCACCTCATTGGACCAGCCCATGATCCGATCGTGGAGGTACCTTACCTCCTCTCAAGGGGCCCTAACCTTGCTAAGGAAATTGCTCAAGGCCTAAAACAATAAAATTAGCGGTGATGAATTAGACGGAGTTGTTCCTTTCAGCGAAGTGGCGGGCAGAACTCCGGTGCGGAGGGGCTGATCGACGTGGCTGTCAACCAAACAGCACATCCGTCAAGAGCTTCCTCTTGGCCATGAGGGCGACTTTCTCGTTTAGCCCCTCATTGTATCCAAATCCCTAAAAGGGACTGGGCCAAGGGGCATTGACGCCACCACCACCATCGAGGAGGGGAAAAGTTTACGTGGAGGGGTCCCCCGTATCAGGTTTCGTCGTCTCCTCTGGCCTTTTTTCGATCTATCGAGAAATGTCTTGCGTTCGCTTCTCCCATTTCGTCCCCTTTCATTTGTTCAACTTTTCTTTTTACCTTTTCTATTCCTGCTATTTAATCTATGGATTAAAGTTGGCAGGGATGATGATATCAAAACGAATTTCGAGATCCTGGAAAGATACGGTAATTATAGTCATGGAAGGGAAAGTTCCTTATCAGCCTGTTTCTGAAACCTGGAGCGGGGTAAAAAGTCCCGGCTCTGTGGATGTCGCGCACGGTCTTTGCCTACTTTAAGTCCCTTAATCATTTATAGTCCGCTATAGAGTAGGTACACCGCAGGTACCTGCTCTAGTCAATCGGTACTAATTGGTAACCCGGTCCTAGTAGGGAATCAGGACCTACTTGGTTGTACTCTGTAGGTACCCAAGTCACTGGGACTATTAGTTTGTACCTGATTGACCCATTAATTGTGCTAAAATAGCCTCGGGTCTTACGTATACACGCCCGCAGATGAGACACCCCAAGACAATGTCTTGACGTCGTCCCTATTCAAGAAAGATCATGAGTCAATCAGGCCACGGTCTATACGAACCGGACCTGAGCAAAGAATACTATTTCCAGCCTCATAAAGTTTTAGATACGGAGCCAGTGGCGCATCAGCTCGCCCATCTCGTTCCAGGCACCTGTGAACATCTCCAGCGTAGTCCACTGTACCTGTCTTTCTACTCTGTCGTCTTAACAAAGAAAATCCAGTCACGCAATCTTAACAACTAATAATATAATCTACTACGATGTGGCAGCCGACCTGACTCATGACCATGCAAATCATCCTGCATAAACCCACCTGCACCCATCGACACATGTGGCAAGAATGCGGCGTAGCGCCCGAAACTAGCCGCTGGACAATTCACCAAGAAGCATTCGTTGGCATCCATCTGCATAGCTGACTTTTTGCTGATGGCTGCGTGGATGGATTGCGAATCGCTGAGGCTGACACACTCTACAGACATAGGCCGGGTTGTCCCTTGCTGTTTTCTTACACATCTTATTTTATGATTACAATTCGGACGATCTTCGTTTTTATGCCGACGATTGGCATTGCCCCGTTTTGATCAGCTGATCCCTCGTTCTTATGTGTACCTGAATTTTCTGGTTGGCAGGTTGGGGGGAAAAGATATCACATGTAAATGTGAATCCATAAGGTTGTCTGTGCTTATGCTCTGGTCTGTGCGACAACTGAGGCGTCAGATGTACGCGTTGCTTCTGCGGTTTTGGCTTTTCGTCTTGAACCTATCGGGATGGTTTTGGCTCGAAGTATAGATGTATGTATTGAGTTAGGTGTATGTATGTACATACGCTGGGAGGGAAGTATATATGCACAACCGTTGCGCGGGTGTAATGTAGATTTTATCTCGGATATTAGGCTATTTTGTCAAGTATTTTTTTTTCTTTTTGAAAAGAGACAGTCTTATCTGTCTAGGACACTGGCCACGGCACTAACCATCACCGCCGCTTCCCGTTCCCAGTTTCCCTTCGTTCCGGAGTCGGCTCCCATCCGTCCTTTATCGGTCGATGCTGGGAGCTGAGATCCCCGGAGGACACACTCTTTGATGTCCTTTTTGAGGCGGTCCCGGTTAGATCGGAGGGTCCTTGCCGAGACGCCGCCACGGTTGATAATCTCCTGGACACGCGAGGTGAGAGACGAGGCGAGGGAGCGCCAGAAGTGCGATGGGAGGGAAGATGCGTCGAGGGTACTGAGCAGTGGTTGCAGGAGATTATTCTTAGTACCACCTTGTGATTGGGGGTCGGGGGTAGGTGCTGGGGGGAAGAGTGGATGCGATGGCGGTCGAAGGCCGGCGAGGATGGATTCCAGCGCAAAAAGATCCTGGCATTTGGCCGAGATCTCGGCGAGGGTTTTGTCGAGCGTGGGCAGCATGGACAGGGACCGGGATAGGGCGTTGAGGGACGACATGACGGCCGTGTGCATGTAGCCTTGCAAAGTGGAGAGGAGGAGCTCGGGCTGGAAGTCCGATGCCGAAGGTAGGTCCTTAGGGATGGGCGAGAGGAGGTACAGGATTGTGGTGGCGGAGCCGAGTCGGGCTCTTGCATCGCGAGCTTGTTTGTAGCCTGACTGGGTGGACATGGTGAACCGATTGATCGCCTGCTGTGCTCTCGACTTCACCATGTTTTCTCCGGGGATGAGCAGTTCACTCCGTAGCGTCCGGATGACTTTGACTCTTTCTAATCCGTGGCCTTCCTCTCCTGGACCCGTGGCTGTGAACATCCGACGGAGACTCACGATCGTAGACGCAGCGCGTTCCAGAGCGCGGTAATCGTCTCTGCCCGGAGAAGAAGGGGCCGGTCCATCGGCGAGCCCACCACGCCCGGTAACCTCAGCAAGCTGGCCCTCCAGCTGCCTGCCGAGAGTGAGACAGCGCGCAACTGCTCTTGAGAGCCGCACGGTAGCGAGCGACTTCTCTGCGGCTATCCTCACCTCATCTGCGGCCTCCCACTTCCGCAGGACCTCTTTCTCCAGCCGCTCGTACCCCTGGGTCACGGAGGAGACTTGTTCCTCGGCTTCCTTGAGGATGTGGCCTGCCGCAGCGGTTTGATCCCGCGTGTGCGTCAGCAGGGGGAGGGCTGACTTGGTAGTCAGCGTGTGAATATGAGTATCGATCTCTTGTAAATCGAAGAGCACCCGTGACAATGGGGTTGACAGATCCAGCGGTGTGTCTGTCGCATTGTTGGTGGCTACGACCAATGAATTGGCAAAGGAGGCGGGAGAGAAGTCCGGGTCCAAGAAGGCCTCATAGTCAATGTATGACGGTTCACCTTCTGCCATGATTGGGTCCGACTAAGTCCCAGTTGCTTTTATTTTTCCAAGGTAATAACTGTCGTCCAGGTCGATTCAATATAAGACCAGGCAGGAAGAACGCAGACTAGGTAGTTAAAAGCCAATAGCGAGTTTGGGTATCGTAATAGATAGAAGATTGGCTGGGTAAAACAGCGTGTTTTCTCCGAGACACTTTCACACAACAAAAACTCAATACAGTAGGCTAGCCATGCGACAGATCCAATGAATCGAGGCCACTGAACCAGGTCATGGTCAGCCAATTGCTTGTGGAGAGAGATCGAGTATGCGATGTTGCTGATCCGCTCGGAGGTCCATTCATGCCATGTGTCGAGACTATGCCTCTTTGGTCGAAGATTAGTCAGCTGTCTATATAGTTCTCTCTCAAGAGGATGTTGTTTTCTACAACGTATCTAGGGCAACATATATGTATAATGGTATATACGTAAAGGATTTTATAATTGATTTGCTTAGATTATGTGGAGCTATGAGCATTAGGTCTTCTGAAAGCAACCTTGGTTGTTGAAATGGGACGATACGGTTATTTGAGCTTTGTATATATTTCCAACATAACAGTATATACTCAGTCCGTTATTGTATATTTTCACCTTTCCCTAGGTTTCCTAGGACCTTCAAACAAATACCGTACATCCAACAAGTGACTAATTGCCCAAAAATGCCGTATCGTATCCTATCCACAACATACTCATGGAACGGTAAAGTAGAGCCTCGAAACAGATCTATTAGCCCATACCTCTTGAGATGTAGGGTCGATGATATTGTGGCAATGCAGCGGCTCCGTTTGTATAAGTTTGGAACATCGTACCCTAGACTGAATTAGATTGAATATAACGTTTAGCCTGAGAAGGCAATGAGGGATTGCGCATGCCAATAAAGGCAGACGCGGCATAAAGGCCTAAGCAGAAAAGTGATACCAGACCAGACCACGAACAGCTCTGAGAAATGTATGTACACATTACGTATAAGAATATAACAAAAGCTATAATCACGCTGAGTGAATTCCATTCTCCCCATCCATCACCGACCTGGGAGTTGCGCCGGTAACTCGTGAGCTGGAGCATCATGTCGACTCTCCAGCTCATACCGGTACCCCTGCCCATCCACTTCAACGGGCTGATTTGAGATGTATTTGTAGTCATGAATTGGCGCATTCCCGCCTTGCATAGGTGCCGGCTGAGGCCGTGACCGGCGCCTCATGAACAGCCAAACGAAGGCTGCAATGAGAGCCACACCGGCGACACCACCGATAACACCACCTGCAACTGCACCCTTATCTACACCTGATGACGACGAGGAGGATGAGGATGTCTGGGTAGCTGCCGCGGAGGTAGTTGTAGCTGACGTGGCTGTGGATGTTGATGTTTCAGAGGTTGTCGCTGTTGATGGAAATGGTAGAACTATTTCATAGAATGATAAGCATTGAGATATCCTAGCATCCACATGGCGTAGACGAATACATGATATGGTGTGTGTATAAAACGTACCAGTCCCTGAGGAGATAACTTCTAACCTTGTATCCCGCTCACCAAATGAGTAACCTGTACCGGCACAGCCGTCAGTCTGTCCTGCCAGCGCGAATCCTATCGTATCGTGTGGACAGCAAAAATATCCCCCATTGTCATACAAATCCCATGTCGCATTCGCACACCTTGGTTCCTTCACTAACGACTCCGTGCAATTTTCGCCGCTTGGGCAACAATCGATGTTGTAGGCGATAGGGCAGAATGTACCTCCTGGGCAGCAGCCACGAAACCCGCCAACGGTTTCACCACAGTCGGTCTCAGTTCGAAGGCAGGAGCCGTTCTTACGGACAGCAAAACCGCTGGTCATTTTGGCCGTTCTGTTTACGGGAGACAAGGGAGGGATGTTGGTGAGATACGAGTAAGCGAAGAAAATGGAAATGAGCAGCGCCAAATAAGGCCTTTGCGGTCAAATTGACAGTGGAGAACGAGCAGTATGCCATAAGCAACGGGCTCCCTTGTTGGAGGAGCAGTTTCGTGCCCAGAAACCAAGGGATTCATTAAGATCTTCTTACATTTAAGGGGCCTGGGGTTTAGCGACCAATCACCAACTTATACTAAGGCTCCGGAGGGGGGTTGAGCACCCGATAGTTATTCAATTGGTTTACTCAGCGTGGACCCTGAAAGGTCCGGGCTGTGAGAAAAAAAATGGCAGTGGGTGTGGGTTAGGTCTCCAACATTGTCAAGAGGAGACCCTTGTTTCAATTAGGCAGTGATAATCATGATTGAGAGAATGGGCGAAAATAGCGCTGGCCCTGGGGAAATAAATGGGTCCTAGGGTAGGGGCCAGAGGCTAGTGATGGGGGCCGTCTCAGCCTCAATCTCTCTAGAGTAATCTAAAGGACTTTCTTAAGAATAGGCTCGTAGCCTCAAGTAGTTATTTAGAGGGTGTTGCTCATCGCTATATCATTTCTCTCCCCATCACAGAAGAACCCGCCCATTGGTCTCCTCCACAATGAGGTCGAACTCAGGTTGGAATTCAGTATAAAAATGATGCTGTGATGGTCAGTACATGCTCTTCCGAGGTTGTCGCAATGGGGAAGCCATACCGGAGTCTGTACCGCATTGGCCGTATACTGAGCCACTTCATCATTGATGACCTTCTTCGGTACCCCATTGGCAGCGGCTGCTTCAGCCATCAGCTGCGAATGACACGCGTGGTCCAAACTGGAAAGAAGGAAGGCTGCTTCATCTACTGTTCGACCTACGGTTAACAAACTGCGTACATCGTCAGCTGAATTGTACAACAAAACGGGGACCAGAAGCAGGCGATACCCATGGTTTTGCAAAATGCATGCCATGTTGTCCTGCCCTAAAGCCTTCGCAATCTGCTGCCCCTCTTCCTGAGCCAATGCAATTCCACCATGGTCAATATAGACACCTAGTCTACCATAGAAGTTACACGCGTCTACACCTGTCAGTCACTCTCGCCATCTAAGGAGATATCCACAACCTGTGCAAGTCGTCGTACCTTGGGTGATCATCTCGATTCCCTTCCCAAATGCGCTCCACGTCTTTCCATAAACCCCGTGCGTATGCGCAGCAGCAACAACGTCCGGTCTGGCCTTATGGATTTCTGAATGGATCATGAATCCAGCCTCGTTGATGAAGGCCTGATTGCCTCCTTCGGTCACATAGCCATCTTGGTCGACAAGGACGAGATCGGAGGCTTTCATGGCAGAGAAATGTTTGGCGTAGGGGTTCATCCAGAAATGGTCTTTCAAAACAGGATCTGCGAGACACTGTTAGTATAGTTCTCGTGTCTCTACTATTGCTGTAAATAAGTAGCACTCGCCTCTCATGGAGATGTGTCCAGAGATACCTTCGCCGTGTCCATGCTTTCCGAAGAAACGGAACGCGGCCGCCATGTGCTCTTTCATCCATTTACGTTTCTCGTAGAGGTCTGTGAATACTGGAATTCCTGGTAATTTAAGCGTTCCATTACGGTCGCCACGGGCAGTTGCTTGGAAAATGGTATCCTCGACCGCAGGCTTCACATTCATGTTACTGTAGTCTGCAGTGGAAACGACTACCTTCTGCTGGGTAGTAGTTTCGGTTGCCGTTGAAGTTGACATATTGGCTTAGATACCTTTTCTATGGGGAAAACAAAGTCAAAGTTGATAGAGTAACTACTGAAATTTCCAGTCGCGACAATGCTGGGGATATTTATCTCCACTTTCAAGTCTTATCAGTTGAGGTGGAATGTGGTGCCCCCCACATCCAGATAAATGGACCTCAACTCGTTTGGTTTTGATTGACCGGAAACGCCAATTCAGAGCGATTGCCATAGGCGCATATCGCCGACCGTACGGACTTTTGTCCGACAAGACGGATGTTCATGGAAGGCGCATTTTCTGTCTTCCTTGGGTCACGATTGGGTAGATTTGATACCCTTCAGTAGTAGTAAATACTACTCTCTACATGTTTGGGACGTCCCATGTCCCTATGACGTGACGCCATCCCAAAAGGCCATAAAGATTCCATAACAGGATGTTAGATACCAATGTGCCTGCACAAGCCCTTGAATGTCGCCAGAATGTAAGACCATGAAATGTACACATCGGCAAGATGAGAGGATGATACTCGAACCAGAACGCCATCTATACAGGTGCCAACCAGCTAGGGTATACAAAAATTGTGAACATATAGAAATCCGCATGTAAGTCGGTCATGCATCAACGTCAAAATATAAGAGAAAGAGAGGGGAACCGGATACAATCGAAGAAGGGAAGACCCGAAAGAAAGCTATACCGCTTGCTCACCAACCCCCTTCATTTCAGTCATCTCATACTCACCATCTTCACCCTGCAAGCTGCGTTCCCGGCCTCTTCCTCTGGACGGACTGCCCCTATCAGCCGGCGGTTGAGATGAACTTCCAGATGACTGTCCAGCACTGCTACCAGCTATACCGCCAAAGCTGATCGGTCTGAGTTCCCGCCATTGGCAGGCCCAGATACCACCAAAGGTCATTAGAGAAGCACTGGCAAACTGAAGACCCCACCAAAGCAGGTTGGATGGGATGGAGTGGGTGTAAAGGGACGTCGCGAGAAGATGGAGGAAGTGGATAGTGAGTGCAAAGTCAGGAATGAGTTTGGACCGAACGACGAGGAGTAGAAGAAAGATTATTCTGTAACAGTTCGGTTAGCGGCGCATCCTTTTTACGAGAGCAAGGGAGGTGGGCAGCTCACCCCGCAAGACTATTCAACATCCACACCAACCCCAGCATCCATCCAATCGTGGTATCTCCTCTCAGTGAGTCCCAACTCAGAACCAAGTCTAGGGAAAATGGGGTGCCATAGACGAGAGTGGTAAATAAGATCAGGGCCGTCGCGGAGGCATAATAGGCAAGCTGTAAGATAGCAATCTTCCGCACGATCTTCAGCGGCGGGAGCTCTGTCCGAGCCCCCGCAGGAGGCCGTCGGCGCGGGGGCATGAAATGTGTGGTAACTGGTACACACTAGTTATAAAAGTCAAGGGATATTTCGCCGTGAGAAGAGCCGGTGAGATGGTGAGTTCTGGCCGCGGAAAGACCGAGCATATACCCGATGCCTGCCTTTCCTTGGGGTTCTTCCCTCGTTAGTGAGGGATTGCAAGTGGATATGACAGTCGCGTCGCAAATATATTAAGACTGTAAAGAGAAAGCGATGATCTGTTGGGACATCGTCTGATGGGGGAAACTGAAGAAGTTGCTCCAGGTTACTGTGGCGCCACGAGCAGAGCCGCCAAGCGGGCAGAAAGGGACCGCAGATCATGCCGAACGGGAAGCGCATCTCCTAACTACGTCTTAGTATATAAATTTACTTGCGACGGTACCGTTCAGCCTACTTTGCTACTCCCACGCGCTTCATATTCGGTTCTTGATTCCAGTACCTTCCTCGCATCCCTCTTTCTAACTATCACTCGCCAAAAATCCCCAAATCACAATGGGTTGGTTACCGTGGTCCTCCGACTCGAAGAACACCGCTTCCGATGGAGGCCGCATAGCCCCCGATCGGTCCTCTCGACAAAAGTGCTGGGAGGGTCGTGACTTGTTCTTCTCCTGCTTGGACGATAATAATATCTTGGATGCGATCAAGGAGGATAAGGAAGCGCGACGGAAATGTGGGAAGGAGATTGCGGAGTTTGAGTCGGCTTGTTCAAAGGCTTGGGTATGTGCCCCATCTCAGTTTCGTCTACCGTGATGAGGGGTCGGTGGGCGTGACTCAACACACAGACAGAGTCTAGCCTTCCCAATTGTCGTCCCTCATAACAATCTTAGGCTTCCATTGGCTAGATACGGTACAATTGCTGACGATCAAACAAAATAGGTCAAATATTTCAAGGAAAAGCGGGTAATGGAATACAACCGAGACAAGACAATTGAGCGGATCAAGAAAGAGGATGCCGCCAAGGTTCAGGACTTGAAGGCACAGGGATGGAACCCTAGGTAGATGGATGGTTAGTTCGTTCCTATGTTGGGAGAAAACGAACAGCGAGAGAACGGGAGGGATTTATTCCAAGCCAAAAGGCTCTGTACTACATACCATGACTTATCAAAAGCTAATGCCACTCCAATCTTAATAATGTCCCGTGCTCGCATGAGCTCGATACCATTGGCCTTTACATATGTTGCACTGTATAGCGACTATTGAGAAAACCTCTGTAGGTCTGGATTACCGCATACTCAATGTTAGTATTATTTGTCCTTGTCATTACTCCAGCTGACCGCTATGCGCCCTAGTGTATCACAGTAACCGCCGGGAAAAACCATATAATCAGCACCGCGACACAGATAAAAGACACCGTATTCCCATGAAGATCTATTGTCCAGGTGTCCGGAGATTATAAGAATAGAGAAGAAAAAGAAAACCATTGCACTCCTGTCGCAGTTACAGCGTAATAACCGAAGGAAAACGTAAATCAAAATCGACAACCAGGCCATATGATCGTTTCCGATGGCTGAAACCCCATGCCTTAGAAATACCTCAACCGATCGATCAAATTAACGCCAATGCCCATGATGTTCTGTAAAAGATGATAGAGCTCCGGAGAAAAGATGTCAATGAAGAAAAATAGGAAAGAAGATGAGTCATAAAATCATTGCTTCCATTTGCCCAATTGATTCATGATGTTCTGTACATGAGGACCAACGGTTGCCTGATTTTGCGCCTGTTGTCCTCCCAAGCCCTTGGCTAGCAGTGATATCAAGTTGGGATCAGACACCACTGGAGCATTAGGTGCTTGGATTGGGAACGGTTGCGGAGGGAGAGGTTGTTGTGGGTTCGCGGGAACAGGGTGTCGTGTGGCTGCACTCAAAAGACTAGCGAGATCTGCACCGGCATTGGGTGTTGATGCTGTGGTAGAAAATGGCTGTTGCGCAGTTGGGACGGCTGCTTGCCGCTGCTGGAGCGCACCCAAAAGAGACTGTAGAGTAGGTCCGTCGAGGGACGTGATTAGGTTGGCGATGTTGGGGGGATTAGAAAGAGCTGGCAATGGGGCCTGCGGCACAGGCGGAGGTGCCAGGGAAGGAACCGCAAAAGCTGGATTGGGAGGGAATGGAGTAGGAGGCGCGCCGCGCTGCACTGACTGCGCGTGGAAGACGATCTCAGCGGCAATGTTCGGCTCAACATCGGGATACTCTGATGAACTGTTAGCAGGCCAGGCCTTCGTAAACAGATTGGTTGGACAGAAACCGAAACACTTACCATTAAATCGAACGTTGTCTGCACCCCCGCTTCGATCGAAAACCTGTAGAGGAATCTTCCTGGAGAACTGGTTTGGACGGGCGAGTCTCACCACTGCGAGAACACCTTCGTTGATCTGCCGTTGAACGGCCGCATTCAGTGGGATTCGGGGACCCAACACCAAAACATCAACTCGAAGACCTCTATTGCGGAATGCATTTTCCACATGGAAGATGAAGTTTCTAGCAAACTGATTAGCAAGAGACATGTCGCGAAGTGTTAGAACGCAAGACTAACCGGTCTACCTCCTCCAAGACGAGAATTTGCACCTCGGGGACATCTCTTGGGGCCCGTCTAGGCACTGGCAACTCTACATCACCTTCATACCCGCGGCCCGTGGGCTGGGGCTGCGGTATCTTCGGTCCCTTGCATAGGGGGACCGGGATCGGCGTCGTTCGCGTCGATCGTACCGCTCTGGCGTTCTATCCCGGGACCGATATCCGTCCCTTCCGCGGAAGCCACGAGGGGACGGGGATCGAGGGGGAGGCCGATAGTCATCGCGCCTACGGTGAGTAGGCTCATCTCTGAAATCGCTAAATGGAACTCTCGGTGATTCGTATGGTCGGTCGTAGCGATCCGTAGGAGCTCTAGGGTTGCGACTGCTCGACGGTCCCCCTCTGCTGTATTCGGGAGACCTCGAACGCCTGGCCGGCGGAGCGCGAGAAGGTTCTGCAGGAGCTGGGCCTGGCCTCGTATTTCTCTGTGGCTTGGATATTTCAAGGTCTAGGAGGTTCCATTAGTCCGGCTGAGCAATTTTTGAAGTCTGGACAGCTGATACTTACGAACTTTGCGCCCCCTCACCACGGCTCCTTGCTCTACGTCGAGCGCTTGCTTGCAGGCTGGAGCCTCCAGAAACTGTATAAAGCCGTACGCCTGCTTGATAGATATCTGCGCCAACTTCCCGTACTTGTGAAAGATATGATACAGATCTCGCTTGGTCACTCGTTCGGTTGGAAGGTTGCCTGTTGTTTTTGGGAACATGAGACGTCAGTTACTCCACTGCCAGAGTCCAAGATGTGATTCGTAATACTAACCGACAAATAACCTGGATCCCGCTGGGAAACGGTCCCAGAGTCCTTCTGTGACATATACCCTCTCATCATGTAGAAACTCGTCATACTTCTTTTGTACGTCTGGCCCCCAAGGGGCATCATCATCAGCGCTTTTAGATTGCCGAGGCTGCTGTCTATCCACACGCCCAGCCTTATTGGACACTGGGGAGGAAGGTGTCTGCACTTCCGCCGTGGCTGGCGGGGACTGCTGAAAACTAGCCACAGGAGGAGGGGGCAGGGTGCTGACGCCCGAGGTGGTCCCTGGAGCGCCGGCAGCTGCCAAGGAAGGGAGGGCGGGGTTAGACTGGTAATTACTTTGCTGGGCAGAGTAGGAGGCTTGGGCGTAGACGCATGAGGGGGAAGTTGATGATACGAGCGAATATCATCGCTAGGGTTATAGTTGGGATGGATGGAAGGCTTCTCCTGGGGTGGGGGACGAGGAGGCAAGCCCAGGGAAGATTGGAGAGCTTCATCGGTTGCTTGAGGGTCCGCAGAGGCGTCCCCGAAAGGAACGGCCTCAGATATTGCAGGGGCAGAAGGAGCGGTAGAGGAGGGGGAAGATTATCGAGGAGGTTCTGGAAATCCACACCATCCTCACCAGTGTTATGTGGTCTGTTGCGGGTGGCTAAGCGATCCTGTGGAGCCGACGAAGCTGCCCAGGAGGAGGCTGCATGGTCTATTTCGCTCGCAATGGGAATGCTCTGTGAAGCATGGGGAGCAGAGGGAGGGAGATCGGGGAAAGGGTGATGAGTTATATGGGTGGCGGAATCTGATGGAGGAGCAGTGGTTAGAGATGAGTTTGGTTCGAAACCCTGCGCAGCAGAGGTGGTCGCAGTGGTCATGGAAGAAGCACATGCAGATTGGTCTGATGGCAGTGACGCATGGGAAGACGCAACCACATTCTTGTTCATCGAACCGTCGTCCGCCTGAAATGCACCAGAGTGGTGGTAGCTACCTTGTGTTTGAGTTTGGAATTGTCCTGGAGCCTGCACGGAGCCATAGTTTCCTTGCACCCCCCCAGACCCAGCATAATGGGCATAGTGGATGGTAGATCATCATGCAGCTGGGCGCGGTGTTCAACAGCAGACTCGGACTTCTCATAAGTCGAAGTATCGTTGAAGACGGGGTCCATTTGATTCTGAAGCACCGGAATATTGGCTGGTTCCGCGATGTGTAGCGGACGAGGGCTCTCGGGAGTCAGGGTCTTGCCTCGAAAGTGAAGAGCTTCATCTGGGGAACCGGGCGTCATGTAGACCAAGGATGAAGAATTGATTCATCTACAAAACCACGCGAAGAAACAGTCCCAAGAGCCACAGGGGATTAGGGATTTTCCAAAATCGACCAAGCTAAGGTGGGGCTAATCTTGGGAAAAAAAAGAACCGGGCCGTTTGGGAGCTCCGGAGGGCGGTAAAGGGAGGATAAAGATGGAAAATCAATGAGAGGAAGGAGAAGCACCACGGGGGATGAAGAGGAACTGGCTGTTTGATCTGTTTGACGAATAGTAAAACCAAGCAGACGAACACTCCCAATAAGCACGAGACAAACAGAAGGCAGGGAGGAGAAACCGAGCGAGGCCGATAAGAAATAATAATAACAAAATAACAAGGATAAGGCTCGGGTAGGTATATAAAACAAGGTAGGGAGGGAAAAACAAAAGCTCGGACGTATGTAATGGAAAGATCTAGTAAGTATCGAAACGACAATCCGAGGGGTAAGCCCAGGCTATGAGGAGCAGATGAAAAGGATCCTTCCGCCAATCCTTGATAATTAGTCAACAATCGTACTATTAAACGACGCCAGAATTAGTAGATGGGGAAGTTGTTGGTAGTGTATGGAGTAGTATGTAGTCGGTAGTAGTACAGTAGGGAGGGGAGGGGATCGGAGGGGGGCGTGGTGGGAACGAGGGCAAGTGACTCGAAAAAAAAAAAAAACAAGCTAATGTACTCCGGGAGGGGTGACCAGGGTAACTGATGAAGATCCCTCTTTTAGTTGGAATCACACACACACGCACACAAATAAAAAATGTATTAATTAGTTCCAAATGGGTCGAGGAGTGTGGGAGGGTAAAAGGGAAAAAAAAATTCGCATGGCAAGACGGACGATGGAAGATTTTCCATGTTGTAAAGTTACGGTTTGCGCACGTCAGCTTTACAATGCTGCACAAACTTCAAGCGCCTTTCCCTATCGGGTAGGGCGTTAGCGCGCAAGGTCTCCTCATGCCGACGGTATGACTGGATGGTTCCATTGCCAACCAGTCTTAGTGGCGGGTCAAGTCATGCTCTCAATGATTTCCCCTGGAACTGCTCGAAAGTTCCTTCATCATTCGTCAAGAGAGTTATTCTTAGAGTCAGGTCCAGACCCTGGTCAGACCGGAGTATCTCCGTCTATACTATAGCTTGATTCAGCAATCGACACTTGTCAGCACTTGTTATCCCTCATTTCTCCGAATTCTTTTGTACCTTTCAGGTACCCAAATTGTACCGAAGAGTGGATTACCTAAGAATCTTGAACTCCTAGCCACGTTACCACCTGGTGAGGGCGATCTGAAGGGATTCTGTGCCGGTGGAAAGCCCGCGGAAGTGGATGGTACCCAGCTACGAGAGGATACCCACTACCTCACTTGACCTTCCCGATCGGCTATAGCGCCAAGTATCGGGTTCTTCAGTCTCAGAGCACAGCATCTTTCCCGGCAACTAACCTTCAAGCTAAGTCGGATTTCTAGAAGATCCCCATGCTTGTTACCGGTTAGTATCTCATTCTTAATTCAATGTCCGAGTTGCAGGTACTCAGTACTGCGATTACTTCAACCACCAAGGAGAATATAACAAAAGAAACGAGATAACCTCCTGAAGCATAAATGAAAAGAATGGTCACGCTGCAGTTGTGTCCTCGGATAGTTCATTGGTTCCCCCTTCTTCGTCCCTTCTCCGCTCTCACCGCAAGAACATTCGCTTCTAAACAAGCGGCCGCCACGGAACGCCTCCAAGACTCAAATGAGGATCTAGCCGCAGCTCGAAAATGGCTCACGGGACTCACTTTGAAAACCATCCCACGCCATATTTGTGAAATTTCATTTAGTCGCTCCGGTGGTCCTGGGGGGCAGAACGTGAATAAGTCGGTCGACCTCGTGTAAATAACCTCCGATCGTGTCGACTTATCACTAACTGGGCCTTGCGGATCTGAATAGGGTGAACTCTAAAGCTACTCTGAGAGTACCTCTTCATTCTCTCTTACCGCTTGTGCCTCGGATTTTACACCGTCCATTGCGTTCATCACGATACTTCGCCGAGAGATCACAGAGTCTAGTCATACAGTCGGAAGAATCGCGGAAACAAGCCGCCAATGTGGAGTCATGTTACGAGAAACTGCACCAGTTACTTAAGAATACTGCAACAGATGCCATTCCTGGGGAGACATCTCAGGAACAAAGAGATAGGGTATATAAATTGTACGTTTATACACGTTGCTGTATTGGCTTTGTTTCCTTTTTACAAACACCCCGAAAGGCTTCAAGCTCACATTGCACAGGAAGAAGGCTGAAAACGAAGCCAGGATCAAGTCTAAGAAGCTGCACAGCAGCAAAAAGGGCAATCGGCGGGGTAGTAAATTTGATGAATGATTGACACAGAGCTAACTTTTATCTGAACCACCCATGTGCGATGATGAACTCCAATAGGCGCCTTTGAATGACAGCGGAGAAGTAGAAGGGTACGAACAAGAGCAAACGAGGAACTGCCATCTCTAAAGTGAGAGCACACGCTCCGCATTGCGGACCGTAGCAGTAATGGCTTTTTGCAGAGACGGATCCAGACCTTCTGCGTTCTCCAGTGGCCGCAGCCAGTTGATAACCTCCTTTGCGACAGCGGGGTCCTCGCGGTGCTCCTTCAATCGGGCAAAAGATGTAACCAACGCCCGCGGGAATTCGGGCGATGTGGGCTGGATTCCGGCGGTAGGAAGCCTGATATAGCAGATTTGTGTATGATGACTGGTAGGACTGGACTGCTGCAGCGCATTGACAACATGGTCCAAGATTTTGCGCAGACATGGCAAATCAGAAAACTCCACGGCCATGTCGAAGAACTCCCGACCGAATTTGGCATCTTGTTCAAAGTTATTCATTGCTGTATCGAATATGGCCAACGGGATAGCACCGCTCATTGCAGGTGTTGAGCGGAGATTCTCTAACGCCACTTGGTCCACTCCACTACTATCTCCAACGCTCGGATTGATATCTTCACCGGTGATCTGCGGTAGCGCAATCATGTCGGCGTTAGGATCTTCAAAGGAAGCATCTGACGTCGGCTTCGGGGCTTCAATCTCTCTGTCAAGACCCAGGATACGCTGCCGAGCAACAAGTTTGGCTGTATATATCAATTCCAGCTTCGCGTAGTGAACCCATAACTTCCTAGAGCTCTTACAGAACCGTAGCCCACGTTGCATGTGGCTTCGGGACTGCGTCATATCTGCATGGTCATCCAAAGCATATTGCGCTGCATATATCCACAGATCCACGTTTGTTGGGTGTAGCCGTAGGGCATCTTCGAAGATCGTTGAAAGCTTTTTGAAAGCTTTCTGGGCCCTAGCATATTCAATGTATTGAATCCATAACCCAATATCGCCGTGAAATTTGCGAGTTGCGCGATCCAGGATGAAGAAAATTCGCCGCTGGCCAGAATATCCCGCATTGCGAATACCAAGCCGCTTTACTCTTTTGCGTCGGAGGGTATCGAGGTTTATTTCGTATTCTGCATACCGTACAAAGTCGGAAGGTTGAGCACCGCGAGCATTGAGCTTGTGCTCAAAGTCCGACCGTTTCTTGATGATTGCTGTGATCTCATCCTACTCAATGAAAACGTAGTGTAAGTCTTCCGCATACTCTAAGTGTTGTGCAGTTTAAGGAAATACCTTGCTAAAGATCTTCTTTCTCTCATACTCTTTCAGTTCAGGTACTGACTTTTCTAGAAAGAAGCGTGCCTTATCAGTAGCGGCAGACATGGTTGCGATTGTCGTTGCTGCAGGATACCTCTTTGAGATTAAGCAGCCATCAACGGAGTGATAAAAAAAGTTGTCGGCATCCCGCAATCAAAAGCTCCGACCACGTCGAAGTGCCTGTCCGCTTTCCTAACTCGGGCTAGCGCTTATTTACACCCGCAAGTTACCGAGCCTCAGTTCCATTGTCAATCATCGTATGTTCATCTGGCTCAGGGGCTTCTGACCATTGCTGTCTGAATTTCCGTTTGTTAATTTGTTCTTTCTTTTCATATTTTTATTCCATTCTTGACACTCGTTTTGTCTCCTTGATTGCTATTTATTCTCTTCGCTTCCCCCTTGTTTCGTCGAGTGGCCGGGGACTGGTCCGCCTGTCTTCTTCGCTGCCATGGCACCCAAATTCAAAGATGGGGATGCCGTTGTAGCGGTTAGTCTTGGCTATATCAAGAATTGAGGTACTTTGGAGAGTCACTGAACAATTGTTAGGTTAATGGGAAATGGGTGTCTTGGGCGCACACAGTCGCTGCCTATGCGGCCTTCTTGAGCGCTTGGTAGTAGGAATGTCTCTGCATTTCAGGAAAATCGTGCAAAACGAACATTATGGCTATCCTGACGAATGGTTTCCGTCGGTGTCAGCAACGATCGGTGATCGCTATCCCGAACGATCCTTCTTTCAAGTTTTCATCGCTATCACCTCGGGGCCTCGGTTTGCTCTAGTGTTCCTTTGGTACATTCTGACCTCGCGCCCCAACTCAGCTCTTCCTAAGTTTATCGCGGGCGTTGGATTGTTCCGGACGTTTACATGCGGTGGTTGGACGTACGTTACATCGACGGACGACCATGATTGGCATGATATTTTCATGATCTCTTACCTCGTTGCGACGTTGCCCTGGACTCTTGGCTGCCTTGCGCTCAGCCCGAACAACCGTCGCGCTGTGAAGTACAGGAAGATCTTGGCGAGCTGTTTCTTCGGAACTCTTGTTCCTTTAATTTACTATTTCATTCAGCACAAGGTGCACAAGGTCGCGGGAGGTATGTCTGTCGTTATATAGCTTCTTTAGTCCCTTGTTTCTAACTCTATTACTTTTAGCTTACACCAAATACGCCTTTTTTGAATGGTCTCTTATACTGTTTGATGTGGGTTTCGACGCTGTCACTGCACTCGACTTCGAGGCATTTGAGATCGTGGTCAGGGATGTCAAAGGGATTAGCAGAGGGTATGTACAGTGGCTTCCGAAGTAAACCAAGAAGAAAAATGTACGGTTGCCAAGATGTGGATGTTGGAATTTGAGAAGAGTGTTCTAAGGTTTTAATCTCCAGGCAGTTGAAGACCACTGCAGACTCCGTCCTCGAAAAAGAGTGTGTATAATCTACTCTCCAAGGCTATCAGAACTCTTGGCAATTAACTCGTAGCTAGGAAAGGAAAGCCTGTTGGAGCTACGTTCGGCGAAGGTTTCTTCTGGACAGAGATCATTGATGCCGCTGCAGATGCCTACAATATGGTAAACATTAGATTGGCCTCATAAGTGGACTTGATTACTGACCAAGTGTAGTTTGTCTTCTGGTCCTTGTGGACTGCCCTTGGTGTACTCGTCTGGTGTAAGTGTCTGTGAAAGTTTCTCCTACAATCCTCTGACAAAGTTAGACTTCCCTCTTTGGCATATGGGTATCTCTGGCTACGAGTTAGCCATCCTAAGCTATGTGTCTCCGGTCCTCCTGGTTATTCCCTCCTTGAAGTCTGCTGCCACGAGAAATCCTCGTCTTTTCCATTTTCTGTCACTTTCCGGGCTACTGGCGTATAAGGTGCAAGACCCTGCCAATCGACTTTTTATGACCACTTTCGCGGTTGCTTGCAGCTGTATCGCATGGTCTGCGACACTATATGCCGAGAGGGCAAACAGCTCTAGGCTGGAATCCCGTATCTTTGCATGGGGTATTGGTTTGATTATGTCGAGCATAGCTAAATTCGCATGCAAAACAAACAATCCCATCTGGCCGATTATGCATGCAGAGAATGGAGGATGGAATAAATTGGGACTTTTCCTTGGTATCCTGGCCGTCCTCAGGTCACACAGAAGGCCTCCAACTAATGGAGGAGACTACTTCCCCTCGAGCGGCAGGAAAGGCTCTTCGTTATTTGCCGCCTTTGGTATCGGCGGTCTGCTTTTCGCAATGCATTCCCTCCTCTCCGACTCCAGCACCATGATCGCTTGGGTCTGGGAGGGATATCCCGTGCGCGGCCCTATTGCAGTACCTCATGGTGCACTCACTATCCTTGCAATGGGTGCTGGACTTATTTACGGTCTGTATTATCCCCGCGTTGCTGGAAGCTGGACTGCATATGGGATTGCGTCTGTTGGCGCGGCACTGCTTACTTGCTCCAGTCACTGGACTGGATTCTATGGTGGCCTTGTCCTTGCTTTCTACCTTCTTGCGATCACTCCAGTCCTGGTTTCGTCAGCTGTTCGCCATTCACTAGCTAAAACCTTTGGTATCGGTTTCCTCCTGTACACATTCCTGATTCTTTTCCATGTGTGGGTTGTTGCATACGCCTTTGTGCCCGGTGGGCCTCTCGTCAGAGAACACACCGATTGGATTATGATCACCACTATGTTATCTATTGGAGCTGGTGTCTTTTCTGCTGCTGTCACCAACTCATCCGGTACTAAGAGCAAGATTGTCAGCCCGAATGGCAAACGACAGCGGTCATATTTTATCTATATTCTCGCGGCGCTGCAGCTATTTTCCATGGCTATTGCATATCTTCGCTTCCCTACAAACGACTATGTGCCATATCACAAAGAGGATAAGGTTGCGACTGTCGGCATTTGGACAGTTCACTTTGGTCTCGACAATGACATGTGGTCATCGGAACGGCGTATGCGCAATGTTATCCAGGAACTTGAGATTGATGTTATTGGCCTTCTTGAATCTGATAACCAGCGCATCATTATGGGCAATCGCGATATGACCCAGGTCCTGGCGGAAGATCTTGGCATGTACGCAGACTTCGGTCCTGGTCCAAACAAGCACACTTGGGGCTCAGCTTTACTTTCCAAATTCCCAATTGTCAATTCTACTCACCACCTCCTTCCTTCTCCTGTCGGTGAGCTTGCTCCGGCCATTCATGCCACCCTTGATATGTATGGCGAGCTGGTTGATGTTGTCGTGTTCCATTCGGGACAAGAAGAAGACCCGGAAGACCGCCGCCTCCAGACCGAATATTTGTCAAAGCTAATGGGTTCATCCCCTCGCCCCCTTATTTTGCTGAGCTACTTGGTCACAAAGCCACTGGAAGGTAATTACAATACCTACGTCAGTGAACTCAGCGGCATGAAAGACATCGACCCTACTGATTGGGACCGATGGTGTGAGTACATCCTCTACAAGAACTTGAAGAGGACTGGCTACGCACGTGTTAGTCGGGATTCTATCACAGACACAGAGATTCAGGTAAGCCATGCCGTGTATGCCCTCTGCGGAGGGGGAAGCATCTCATCCTTGCTGACCAACTGCCGTGATAGGTTGGCAAATTCGTCATTGGAGAACCCGAGCCTGAGAACGAGATGCGACTGCCAGAAGAAATGGTGCCAGAAGGGCGTCGATTCCCGGGTTTGTTCCGCGGACAGGGAGTCCGCGGTCATCGTTATCATGTCTTTGATGAGCCCAGGTATTGGCAATGAATGCCACGTGGAACGGCCAGTGGACCTTGAT